ACTGTCCATGCAGTTTACACACATGAAGAAGGGCAGAAGTGTTTTTTAAAAAGATGTAGATATTAAGACTATTGCTTTTGTAGCTGAGTGTGGTGTAAGAGCAGTTTACATTCTTTAAAAATTCCAGCAGTATAGAAAGAATGATGGGGAAAGTAATAGCTGCAGATTTTCCAAAATTTCCTGCTGGTCTTCAAGCTGCTTCCTGATGACATTTGGTTGATGAGTTTTGCAATTCGGCTCCACCTTCATGTGAGTTTATAGCACTTATCAAACTGATACACTCTCAGTAATGAAAGGGCAGTGTTCATGTAATTAGGTGAACAAGAACACTTCATTTTCATAAATTAACATTATAAAGCTGTATCACTAGATCTAATCACACAGTCACTGGTCTTTATGCCAGTCACAAAAACAGTAAAACTGGGACTTCCCACAGACCAGGAAGGAACCTTTATCTACTCAGGGGACGCTTCAGGAATGCAGAATAGCAAGACTTTGTAAACCAGCTAGATACAAGTCCAGTAGCAACTTAGAGACCAACAGGATTTTCTGGATATGAACTTCTGAGAGTCAAAGCTCCCCTTTTCAGATACCTGTATCCAGTTACCTGTCAAAGGGAGCTTTGACTCTTGAAAGCTTATGCCGTGAAAATCTTGTCGGTCTCTAAGGTGCTACTGGACACATATCTCTCTCTGTTCTGCTGCAGACCAACAGGGCTACCCTCTAAAAAGACTTTGTAAATTGACCAAAACAGACAAACAAACCAAGCCTTAAATGTTGAGAGCAGTGGAAATCCTGTTAGATATGGGGAGGGGGCAAATTAGTTCCTGAGAGCTATAGGGAGATTTTGTGCAGTATATCTGCATTATATTTTCAGTTGTTCCCTTCTCCCACAGTACCCATCCAAAGCCTTTTATTGGCATATACATGAAGACACAGTAATCTAAATACAAAATCGTGCATAGTAAAATTAGAATTGCAGAGTAACATCATCATAAGAGTGGCATCATAATAAAACCTAATTCATAGTATCGCTTATCAGCCGTGAGACCATGGCACTGCAAAAAAAACTTTGCTACTATTTCAGTTATTTCTGTATCTGGATTATCAAGCAAGAAAAGAAGCTTAAAATCATCACGGGTCTCTAAAAATTGGGCTAGTATGGGACCTGCTCAGCCTTGAGGAAGTTGACAGATTACTCGTAACTGTACGCCCAACCACGTGCGTCCTTGATCCGTGCCCTTCCTGGCTCATTAAAGTGGGCCATGAGGGGTTTTGAGGAGCTCTTAGGGAGCTGCGGTGGCTCAAGTGGTTAAGACGCTGAACTGCAGGCTGTGGAAGGTCAGTAGTTCAGCAGTTCGAGACCCAGGTTGCCGCATAACGGAGTGAGCTCCCGTCTCTAGTTCCAGCTCCTGCCAACCTAGCAGTTCAAAAGCAAGAAATTGCAAGTAGATAAATAGGTACCACTTCGGTGGGAAGGTAACAGCGTTCCGTGCGCCTTGGTCATGCCGGCCACATGACCACGGAAATGTCTTCAGACAGCGCTGGCTCTTCGGTTTTTAAACGGAGATGAGCACCACAACCCTAGAGTCGGACTCGACTGGCTTTCGAGCAAGGGAACCTTTACCTTTTACTAGGGAGATTATCAACGTCCCTCGCTGAGGGATGGTTCCCGGGGGCTCTCAAGGAGGCGATGGTCTGTCCTCTCCTGAAAAAACCATCTTTGGATCCAACCGAATTGGCCAACTATCGGCCGGTCTCCAATTTGCCCTATTTGGGCAAATTGATTGAGAGGGGGGTGGTGGTACAGCTTCAGGGTTTTCTGGATGATGCTTCCATTTTAGCGCCGACGTGGTGATATAGGGGTTCGCTTTACAGTGGCTTGTCTCCTTTCTCCAGGGTCGGGGACATAGGGTGGTGTTTGGGGAACAGCAGTCCGGGAGATGCCCACTTGAGTGTGGGGTATCCCAGGGTGCAGTGCTGTCCCCGATGTTAACATCTTTATGTCCCCCTTGCCCAGGTGGCTCGGAGGTATGGGTTGGGTTGCCATCAGTACGCTGATGACACCCAGCTCTATCTGATGTTGGAGGGCCGGTTGGATTTCGGACCGGAAGATCTGGACCGGGTGCTACAGGCTGTGGCTGGTTGGCTTCGGCTAAGTTGGTTGAAACTGAACCCAGCGAAGACGGAGATCCTGTGCCTGAGTCGTGGCAGTTCAGGGTTGGGGGTCCCACTCCCAGCCTTTGATGGGGCACCTCTCGTGCCAGCGTTGGAGGTTAGGAGTTTGGGGGAGCTCCTGGATGCCTCCTTGACAATGGAGGCCCGGGCAGCGGCCACTGCTAAATCGGCCTTTTATCATCTTCAGTTGATTCAGCAGTTGGTTTCTTGACCGCCGCAACCTGGCGACAGTGATCTATGCGACGGTCACCTCGAGACTTGACTACTGCAACGCTCTCTACATGGGGCTGCCCTTGTCCCAAATCTGGAAGCTGCAGCTGGTGCAGAACGCCACGGCCAGACTGTTGATGGATCTTCCACGTCGGGAGCACACCCAGCCTGTGCTTAGGTCACTGCACTGGCTGCCAATAGCATACCGGATTCACTTCAAGGTGCTGGTACTTACCTTTAAAGCCCTATATGGCCAGGGCCCGACCTACCTGAGGGACCGCCTTTCCCCATATGTACCCCAGAGAGCACTACGGTCAGGGGCCCAACATCGCTCGACTATTCCAGGCCCCAAGGATGCAAGGCTCGCCATTACCAGGACCAGAGCCTTTTCTGTGGTGGCTCCTTACTGGTGGAACGAGCTCCCGGAGGAAATCAGGGCCCTGCGGGACCTTTTACAGTTCCGTAGGGCCAGCAAGACAGAGCTCTTCCACCAGGCCTTCAAATAGGAGCTGTCACTACTGTTACCATCAACGATTCCATTGAACTTCTGGAACCTAGGACTGGGCCAGATGCATCACTAGGCCTCTATCTGCTCGAGGGGTGATGACCGGATGGACAACATGGATTTAGATCTGAAGAGCACACCATCTAATCTTTTAGCACTGCAAGCACTTTATTGCTGTTATTTTTATAATGCTGATATGAGTTAGTATGTATTTTTATGTTGTTTTAAACTTTTATGGTTTATGCCAATTAGGTACCTTGTACCACTCTTGTTAGCCGCCCTGAGCCTGTTCGCAGGATGGGCGGAGTATAAATATAATAAATAATAAATAAATAATATAGAAAAATCTCCCACAGTACCTCACAGGGCCTCTGTTAAATTCTAATCTGCTTCATATAGAACCACAGCAAGCGAGCTGACACTTTTATTTGGGCCAACTAGAATTCAGAACATCAGAAACAAGCTTTTGAGTCACACAGCCCTCTTCCAAAGAACTGTTCCCACTAAAGGTAGATGTTTAAAGCAAAAGAAAAGAAAAAGATATGGCATTGCCAGACAGGCAGTATTTCGAAACAAAAGAGCAAGAATGTAGCTAATGCAAATGTTTAAGTGATATATAATCTATGCTGGAAAGGATTCAAAGATGGAAATATAAACAGCTGGAATATGTCATACCACTACACACATTTTTAAAAAGTTGAGTACCTAATTGTCTATCACTTGCCTCCACATTTATTTATTTATTTAAGAATTTGATTAACAACCCCCCAAAGGACCTACTAAAAACACAACAGCACTATGCACACTTTAACAGCATTGCTTTTGCATGCTTTATCTGGAAGTCTGGATTCCCCTGAGGTGGTGAAGTAGTGGCTATATTTCCTCCCTCTAAAAGAAAGACAGAAAAAGTAGACAATCAGAACATACTATCTGTTCCCAACTGAGATGCTTGGATCTACTATCACCTCCTTTTTCATTATCTAGTGTTATTGGTACATGCCAGTGACAGTGTATGACCTCTGCAGTGCTAGAGGCATTTTGTTGATAATGTACATACATGGTGAATTGTGAATGTCAGGTGGGGGAATTCTGCCCCCACTCATCTGGGGGGAACTGGGGAAAATCTCCCCCTCACACATACACACGTTTTTTTAAATGCTCACATTATCTATAGCTGAAGTATCTGAAGAAGTGAGCAGGGATTCACAAAAGCGCCTACCCTGCCACAAATCTGGTTAGTCTTTAAGGCGCTACTGGACCCTTGTTCTTTTGTACTGCTACAGACAGATGAACACGGCTGTTCATCTTGATCTAGCTCATTCATATTTTATTTAGTTTACAGCCTCCCATTTCTGAGATTTGTGCAAATATCAGATTTTGCAGGGAGTAAAATACTGTAGCTTCTCTACTTCTTTGTAAGTAATAGGTCAGAGAAAGACACTGCATGCAGGCCTCATTTAGTGATCATATTTTACTTTATATACAAAGTACTTTTCCTTTATCCTCATGACCTCATTATCGTTCTCCTTTTATAGATGAGGACGTGTGAGATTTACTGAAGGGCTGTGATTTTCGTTTCCTTTCTCGTCCATTTTTGCAGGTGCCAATGCGAGTCATGCACCCTGCAAAGTGTTTTCAGAAGCTTGAGAGAAAGAAAACAATTGCACCACCCAGCAAAGCCGGCCAGCTCAGAGTCCTCCTGTGTGCTGCTGAAGGTATCAGCTAGATTCTAGTTCAGCCGCACCTTAGAAACCAACAAGATTTCCTGGGTACAGATTTCATCGGAGGAAAGGCGGTTTGAGTCTCAAAAACTTACACCCCGAAAATCTTGGGCTCTAAAGTGCAACTGGACTCGACTTCGGCTCTTCTGCTGCAGACCAACACGGCTACCCCTCCGAAACCCTCGAGGGAGGCAGACTCAGGTTTCATTGCGTTGGCTCTGGCCGGCTCTGGGCCGCCCAATCATCCTTCCCCGGACAAGACAGCAGCTGTTGAGTCGCCCGGGCGAGGTCTCCCAGAATTCCGCCCACACGGGGAGGAGCCACGGCAGCGCGGGTGAGACTGGCAAAACTGCGGACAAACCAAAACTCGGCAACCGGGGATTGAAGGGGAGCAACCGCAGCGCCAGCCGGCTCCGCTAGACTCCGTATCTCCTTGCGACGATGGGGTCCGTTTGGAGCAGCGAAGACCGGGAGGTGGTGAGCGGTCCAGATGCCCGCGGCCAGCTCCAGGGGATCCAGTTCCCGAGAGCTGGGGGGGAGGAGACCCGGTGGCCGATCCCTTCGTTTGATTGCTCCATTTGTTTGGAAGTGCTCCACCAGCCCGTGAGGACACGATGTGGCCACATGTAAGTACCCCCCCCCCCTTGACTCCGGCTGTTGCGGGGAAAGTGAATTCCGAGCCCCACAGTTGCGTGGGACTTACAAGAAGGGGTTTTCGGATGGGTGTGCATGTGCGTACAGTCAACTTCTCGGTCACTTCTAAAACGGTTGCTGTTAAATTCTAAGGGGTTTGTTTCCCTCCCTATTTAGATGATTGCAAACATTTTAAATCGATTTTCTTCTGCTGGTATTAATGCTAGGTTTTGTACTAGGCAAACTGGTTTTTTTTTAAGTAAGGCGGTTGGATTCAGGAAACCATGTGCGTTTTTGTTATCAATACCAAAGGTGCCAGCAAGAAACAAGATACTTTTTTAAAATAAAACCCTTTAGACATATGTAAAACTATGAGCACAGTATAAGCAATTTTAATTAGATGTTTTCAGAGCGAGTGAACGGTGAATTCGGGTCAGGAGCAGAGCCCGGGAGTACGGCGGCGATCAGGTCGATTCGGACAGCTGCAAAAATTCTTTTTGTTCAATTTCGTTTCTTTTGCTTTTTATTTTCTGCAATGTTTGGTAGAATCAGACTTTCAGGGAAGTGAATGCAGGTGGGAGGGTATTGATTCCGAGATTGTTGTTGAATTTGTGTCATAATACTGCCCGCAAATTGTTTCCAATACATTGATATACTTTAAATTGAAGTGAATACGTTTGTGTCTCGTATGCTAATACTTTTGCCTTTGTTACTTGAAAATAAGTTTTGTGGAGGAAGTTTTCACAGTTCTGGAAGAATCTTCTTGTAGGTTTGAAAACCTTGAGTGCAAATTTCTTACAAAATCCTTTGCAACAGTATTCCAACCTTTGGGGCAGACATTTCCCCAGTTTGGGACAACCCCCCCCCCCCCTTTGGATTCATTTATCTTGATTCCATTACCACATAATGCAAAGATTAAATTCAAATCTGTGGTTTGTCTGTTGGGGAGGAGTTATCCCGTTCAGAATGAAAAATGCAAATGTTCTTGCCTCATTTGTTACCTGTGTACACAATATGGATGGGCTATCTTTCTTAGCAGTTAAATACATCCATATATAAGCCCAGAGCAGTTATTTATATAGTTAGCCCCATGCCTACCAAAGGAAAGGCTCAGAGGTTTCAATCATTAGGAGTCATTATTCGCTTGTTTTGAATTTTTACCTGCTTGAGAACATTTCAGATCGCACTTGCAGTTTAATATGGATAGAGAAAATAATTCAAATAAGGTTAAGATAAACTATTTCGATTAATACAAGTGGGAACCTGCAAGGACTTGTGGGAGGCATCTCATCCCCCCCACACACACTATTTCCTCTTTTCCAAAAGCCC